CACACACACACACACACACACACACACACACAATGTAGCCTAATTCTGATATAAATCAGTCTTCAATTGAAAAGGGGAAAAAAATCTGCATTAATATTTCCCGGTGCTGTAATGGCGCTCTTCAGTGTTTTCCTGAGATTTCAACAGCCAACACAGATTTAGAAAAGGAAATGAAATATACAGTTAAACAACAAAAAATAGTAAAACAAGCCACCAAGCCTAACACTCAGACAAATAATTGATTTTGTGGTTTTCAGGCAGGTAAGTCTGAAGGTAACCGTGAGGTAATGTGAGGTAAAGCATATGCCACTTTGCTTTATGTTGCATTGTTATTACATTATGACTTTGAATGTGTGAGACGTATAGAAGATGAAGAAATAAAACTGCAGAGTTCAAGATTAATCCAACCCCAAGGAACAACCACTGAACTAAATAGAATTTTTTTTTTTTAAATATACAAATTGCAAATCTTTAAATCGTATACTCAGTGTAGGAGTGAGTTTTTATATAAATAGCTTCAAAGTGAAATCTATATTTTTAACTCTTTATTATTATACATCAACAAAGTCTTGTCTCTAAGAAATACTTTCAGTACGAAAAATTCTGAAACAATTAAGGAGAGGCCCAAAAACGTCAGTCTGAACAGATTAATCCCATGGTTCACAAAGAGAAACCCCCGGAAGATAATTATGATTTAATATCGAGATTTTATTACAGTCATATCAACTAGAGTCAATTTAATTGCATTTTTGTGACCATCTTATATTCAAATGAGAATAGAACGGCTTCATTAAAATTGTAGCGTAATAAATTCATTTTCTGTTCGATTTTATGCAACTTAAAAAAAAAGCAGCAATAAAATAATTGTTTATTATTGTTTTTCAATCCCATGTATGCATGTAGGCTGTATGACCACGTTAAGCATTAACTAAAGTATATCAAGAAGAGAAAAGATACACACCTGACATGCCAGATACTCAGAACAGCAAATGTTACTAAAACACATACGTCCAAAGTTTTAAAGCATAGTTGTTATTCTGTCTGCAATGTTTCCACTTGGCTATAGCATACGTTGCCTTGTTCCACCAGGATTTGTTCTTTCATCCCTCCAAAGCTGTCTAAGCCCGGACGCAGGCTAAATGAGCATGCCCACTCATGAATGCTGTTGCTTAATTACAATCCCTGATGGAAAAAACGCCAAAGGAGATGCTTGAAAGCAGCGACACTTTAGGATAGAAACAGAACCTATTTCAAGCAAAAATAAATAAATTAATGTGTTCAAGTGTATATGAATGCCATTAATTGTAATAGGTGTAATTTTTTACCAGCCCCCACACGAAATACAAAGGCATTCTTCAAGTGCGTCAATTTCATTGCCAGAAATTAGAATGACGTATTGAACGGGGACCTTGGAAGGCTATGTTACTGTGTTTGATGCAAAGGCACTGTGGTATCTGAAATGGGGTCTAATGTCAACAGTTGTTTGGATTGACATTTATATACAGTATTTATTTAAATAGCTCTAGAGAATCCAGAAATAATCGGGGAAAAAAAAGTAACTACTGTTGGTTCCAGCCTACATTAAGTTCAACAACAGGCTAAATTACACATCAACGCCAAAGAGGAATGAAGCATTACTGTAAAATAAAATTATTGTTTGACCTGTCAGATTAAGAGTCATCTGTTGTTTAATGTATCAAAACCTTGACTTTGTCCAGCATTATACTATAAACACACAGTACAGTACATCATTTGAGGTAATATCATTAAGAAATTAAGATTTTTCATCCTTGATATTTAATCCTGACACCTTCAAAACCTGCACTAAATTGTTGAACAGAATTTTCCACAGTGAATTTCTATGGTAAGATATTGTGGTTAACCAAATGTGTGTTTCGAAAACCATATTACTCTATTTAAGCAAAAAGCTCACGGTTTCTTTAAAGGAACTCAACGCTACACATAAATTATTCAGTAGTATTTGCATTTGCATTGTAATTTGCATCCTTGTAGATTACACAGAATGGAGAAGTCGGCGCTGCACCAAAGAGAATTACATTCTGATCCATTTTCAGTCTTACTGGCGACGGGTTGAAATGGATTTTTGTTCCACTTTCCTCCTCTGCTTCGAGGTATACTGCTGAGATCAGTGACAAACATTTCAAACTGTTGTTTGATTAATAAAAGAAGGAAACGATGTATAATGCTAACCAGCACTCGCACACAAAAAGCGCTGCCATTAAAAATGAATCGTGACATTGAACAATGAGTCTATTTGATTGACTAGGCTGAGATTTTTACTGTAACATTCTCATCATCTTTATTTATATTGTAAGGCTTGTGAGTTGAAACTCAAAGAAACCAGTAGGCACGGAGGAGATGTCATATGGATTAAACATTAGGAAGAAGTGTGAAACTCTCACAGTAACTGAAGATTCTGGCTATTATGTTTCATCTAAAAATAACAAGCCTGACTAAAAAGAACAGACAACACTGGATAAGAAAAGAAAAAAAAGACACAAGCTCCAGAGAGAATAGAGTTCAAACAGCAGCAGTAATAGTGCTGAGTGTGATATGGAACGCAACGAGGAGAATGTACAGTATGAGACTCCCTTCAATTATAAATGAAAAATAAATCAGTGTGAAATGTATGGAATAACCCAGATACTGAAATAACACATTGCCAGTGTTCCTCTAGAGCCACTTTTGTAAGACGTCATACTGTTTCAGAATCAAACTGAATTTATGTCTGGATTTAAAAAAAAAAAAATCAATTAAAGTACATATATGTTCAGGTGAATCAACTCATTGCTTTATATTCATTGCTGACATAATCATTAGTAAACAGTTATCTTTATAATGACACCTTCCAGGCCTCAGGGCAGAATTTGCATTTTTTTAGAGAGGAAAATGTGCAAGAGAGTAGATTGAGACAGTGTGGTAACACACTCCTGCAGTGTGTGTGTGTGTGTGTGTGTGTGTGTGTGTGTGTGTGTGTGTGTGTGTGTGTGTGTGTGTGTGTGTGTGTGTGTGAGGAAGTCAGCGGATGGATTGATCCATTTGGACCAATCCACGGATTTAACGTAATGGCTCCACGGATTGGTCAATTTTGATCAATGGGTCCATTTGGGTATGGGCACGTCACTGTACCCAGGAAGAAAAAGAGAAATCTCCACGAGGTCTTCTGGGGCAGCATAGACAGTATTTTCTGTGTTAGAGTTTTACTCACTACAGGGTGTTCTTTGAGGGTTTGTGACTTTGCAGACCGTTTACATGCATACAAACCTTCATAACACACAAGGGGATGGGTAATAACCGGAAAGCCATGACATGGGACCTTTAAAACTTTAGCAGAACCCCATATTTACAATATTTTTTTTTTATGCAAATGCAAGTGGCCATATCTTGCGAAACACACTTTAAGATCAAGTATATAATAATAATAATTATGTAATTTCCAGACCACTGGAGAAAAACGTTGAAGTATGGCAAAAGGTGAACGCTCCATAAACTACAACTGCTAATTCTACTGAGTTTTCATCTTTCGCTCACTAAGAGGGATTGCACATTTGGCTCCTAATCATCCCATGAATAAGTCACCGCTTATCAAAACAGAGTAACCTTGGGCATCATTAGGATTCCATATCAGATGTCAAGTGATTAAAACGGCGCACTAACTGCCAAGCACTGTTATCATTGATGTTAAAATACAACCACAAAAACCAACCTATGTGTTCCTTCTGTTGGATGTTTGAGACTACAGGCTTTAAAATACATGTGATGAATTTCAATCTTTCTGAAAGGCCTCTGGCGTGATACGCAGAATTGCTTCACAGTTAATAACTTTAAACATGTCAAAGTAGCCGCCTTTAAAAGTCACCTTGATTAAGTGAATAGACAGCCAACAGACCTAGATATTTTACTTATTGATGCATACAGCCGCAAAGTACAATGCATACTATCAATAATCCCATTCCGAGGTAAATCAATGAAGTCAAAGCCTATTCGTCGAGGTACTGCGTCGGGACTGCAGGCATCTGATGCCATGACTCTATAAGTATACTGTCTGATGTTGTAGATACTGATCATGGATGTAAGTACCAATTGAACTGATATGTCATGTGTGGTGGTGTCTCTTTGCTCTCTTCCGGTTGCGGAGGTCCTAAAGCATACTTATAGAGCTCCTGTCCAATCCTAATCAAAATGACAATCTCCATGTACATTTTTAAAACACATTTTGAATTGTAAGACACAAAACTTCGTTCAATATAATTTATAGCAACAGTTTTATTTTTAATCCGTTGTGAATTGAATAATTAAATCCTCTTATTTTACTCTTTTTGCTCAGGCATATAGGAAGACACCGGTTTACCCAGAGTTCTAGCGTGACCTCTACTGCAGTTGAAAATACTTGGGAGAGGAGGTTGAATCCATTGATTTTGGACGATGTAACCCAAGTCTGCGAGGATACGGTGACAATTTGAATGAGAACCCCCTTCAGTTTGTGCATAACCATCGTAAGAAGGGCTTATGTGCTCCTCGCCACTTGATTTCCGACTCGGGGAGCTCAGTGTTGTCGGGGTAGAGTCAGTTTCAGCTGCACTGCATCAACATGGTGAGTGTAACAGCGAGCACCTGCACGCAACGGTTTCTCTTTATTGTCGCATTGCACTGATGGAGGCATTTTACTCACACCGGTTGTAATGCAGATTACTTACTATTTAGACTTTGCTGACTGATTGACGTTTTCATTCTATTTGTTCTTGCGATTGCAGTGTACTGTTAGCTTAGCTTGCTAACCAGAGCAAGTGCATGTAGCCGGCTAGTCAGTGTAGCGGTTTAGCTAGCATTAGCTCAAAGGGACCGTTGACTGCAATCCAGATGTTAATAGTTCATATCGGTGGCTGTTTCAATCGTTTTTCACTCACATACAATGTCTGGGTGTACTGGTGTTGGGTTGTGTTTCAGGGTACATATTGAAGACAAGTAATCGGTATAAATCATACAACAAGCGGTTAGCATAACGTTGCAACTAAGCCGGTAGCAAGATACCTTAGGGAAAGTTCACCTGCCTGACCTGCGCAGTTTGACCTCCGGATGTTTCGACCAGATCTGAGTCTCATTTGGTCTCTTTTATTTGTAATTTCATGAAATTTGGTCGAGTACTCTTGATAGTTATTTCCAATTTTATTTCAAGGGTTTCTAAAAACCTGTCAGGAAAATGTTTACAGCGTAAACTTGTTTGTTCTTCCAAAAGTCAATGAAGGGAGATTTATAATGGCATTCATTATGGTATGAATTTGTTCTAGCACCCAATAATCCAACATTTCCCCCCAAAACACATGTTGTATCTTGAATCTCAAACAGTTAGCAATACATATAACAATAACAGTAACATGGGATGAGTTCACAATTATTGGAGCTCCAAAACAACCCTCTTGGTTTTCTTGTTTTTTTGTTGTTGGTATGACTATGTTGATGAGTACATTTCTAGTGTTCTTCATATCATATAATCAGAATGTCCACAATATGCTCGTCTGTTACAGCAGCTAGGACAGGACTATATTCACAACACAGGTAGTCATTCATTCTTGAAAGGAAGCTGGTAGAAAAACAAAGATAATCTGAATATTTCCAATGTATTGTAACACCTCCAAGGTATACTGTATTACAAGGGGATGGGGTGAAAAAAACGAATCGCAGTATATCCTAGAAATAGTAAACATCCAGGATTTCCTCCAGTCTTACTTACTCCAGAATTAATATTAGGCCTATTCCGATATACATTATGTCCCATCTTTAACCAAAGCTGCAGTATGTCTATTGGAAAGCGTAACCTTAGATGTCAAATACTTAATAGTTGAAAAGTTTTCCAAGAAATATAAATACATTGAGATAAATGAAACTAGGGAAGCATAAGCGGTTTTGCTCCTTCAAAGTTAGTTTCATTGCCAAAATAGTAGTGAGGTGTTGGAGCTCTTATGGGTGGTTGTTATCACTGCAGCTCCCTCGTCTTACCCCCTACAGACTTAATTTAGTTGTTGTGTGGAGGGGGTCAAGCGGTATGGAAAGATAAGAGAGTCCATGCTGGCTCAATTCCCCCCAGGCCAGAGATCCTTGCAGGGTCCCCACAGAGAGTGGTCAGCATCCACCAAACTAAGGCAGTTTACTTTTGACCTATATATCATGACCATCCCTCACATGGAGAATGTATTGCGTCAGAAAGGTTGGGTTTGGACACGCATCACATCTTAGCGAGGACAATTTTTAATGGCACCCACACTCCTCTCTGGGACTCCAAACGAGGTATTGACTTCAGACTTTGGAGCTTACCACATGCTGGGTGACTGGGGATCCCCATGACCAATCCAACATATAGGTCTAGTGCAGAGTCCAGACTCAGCCCCTGTCCTGTTAGTTGTCATTTCCTTCCTCCCTCTAGTCTACACCAACAGCAGTCTGACATAGGGTTAACCATCATTTAGAAAGACATTTACTAACATCATGCCCAGGGTTGTTCATTATAGTTTTTATTTCATTATTGTGTATACATTATTGTTGCTAATCAGACGGGTATAATCAAAGCAGATATGTGTATGGGGTTAGGTTAATATGTCCAACTACATGCAGTGTAGCCATAAAAACCCAATTTATTTGTATAATAGTACAAGATTAAGTTTAATTATATATTTAAAAAAATATGCTGTAAAGCATGGTTGCCCAGTGCAAAACTCTATTAAAGCTTTAGATACTAAAACTAGAGAATGGTGATAATATCACTAAAAGTCACAGCTCACACATGATGACAGACTGACCCAGAAGACACCTTTTCAGAATCAGTATGTTAGCAGAGTCTGTTTGGATGATGTACTGAATCAATTTTCCATTCTATGATAAACTTATTTCAATTATTCTCGAATCCACAAAAGTGCAGCTTAGGCGAGAGGAAAATAGCATTCTGAATTGCCCTTATTGGGTGAATGTAGGCTGTACTATTGAGTAAAGTTGAGAAAGGGGAGGGAGTTTTGTTTACACTAATATTATTGATGTGTAAACAAACATCATGTTGAGTAAACAAAGAAATCTACAGGGCGGTTTGCTTTATTTATGGTATGAGTTTGCAAGGGTAGTTTCCCTGCCTAGGTGCTCAAAGAGATATAAGATTATTATGTTGGAAAGAACTATTTTTATTGGGGATTAGTTAGGTAATTGGTTCTCTCACTGGTCAAGAGTGTGTAGGCACAGATATCAATGATTCCTACCGATTGCCCAAAAAGATAGGCAAACCCGCAGACCTTACCTGCAGTGAAAGGATATTACTGCTGCATGATGGGAATGATTCTGGCCTCTTAAGCCTAAGTGAATATTGATCTTAGTGTGCTGGGTTGATATTGAGCTCCTTATGTTGCTAAATCTTTGGGTTTCTACCAAAGGAGCGCAGGCTGTTCTTTCTCCTGGGCACATGGAGGCTGTCATTGTGACAGATGTTGGAGTCTTTTTGTGAACATTGTATTTTACACCACTAAATGTAGTCAAACTACGATACCTTGTAATGGTGAGTAAACTATGAAATGCCTTTTTAACTCAACATTGTGATTATGTTTTGTAAAAGTAACCCTTACATTTTCTTGTGTTGAGGTACATATGACAACGTAATGTAGTTTTGCTTTTGAGTCAAAGTTAGGGGAGGGGGTGATATTAATCTCTTAACACCTATAATTAAAATTGCATTAACCATAACTATCATGGTACTGTATATTTCTGATACAAAATAACTAATTGAAATAAATGTGCCTCTTTTTTTCTTCTTTTTTTTTAAACATTCCTACTTATTTCAAATTTGCAATGGCCTGCTGCAACCTTACACCTAATCATGTCAGCCAATACAAGGTCATCACTTCAACTGTTTCACTAATCATGTGAGAAGAGGTGTCTTTAGTTAGTGTTAGGAAGCCCCAGACACTTAAACATATCATGTTGCTCACCATGATGTCACATGAGAGCTGTGGTTAGGGACATCTGCTAGTCACTTGAAAATCATGTTAGGGCACTCAGGGACGGATGTTGGGATGATATGTAAGCATGTTGGTAGCCTCAAAGGTAGCCATGGCTTTTCTTTTTGGTTTGACAGCTATTGGGGTCTTTTTAAAGTTAGGTCTTTTTATACTACAACCTAAACACATGGTGGCATTCAGTAAAATAGGAAAGTAGTAATATAAAGTGTTTTGGGGCATCTAACGGCCTTCTTCCTCTTCTTGGTGTGTCTGAATAATAAGTGTGTATCTCCTGGTTCTACAGAGCGCACTCCCAATCTCTGTTCATATTGAAATGAAGGTCATTCTGGGTTTGAGCTTTGAATCCTTATCAAGGTTGTTGAGTCAAATCTTTCCACAGCTTTCCCTTTTACAGTGTTTACAAAGAAAACATGCTGTGGTGTTTCATGTTCAAGGGTTTACCGTCCAGCTAAGGCTTTGCTTTTGGCCACATTATAAATCAAACACTTCATCTAGAGAAAATAGCCATGCAGTCTTGCCAAAAGCATACAAAACCTGGGGACCGTGAATATGCTTATCCCATTTCATCGTAATCTACCTTTTCTTTACCTTTTTGTTTGTTTTTGGAACTTATGATAGTCAAGATGTAGAAAAGGCCAGCGGTCATGGTCAAGATTATTTTCTAATATCACATGCATTTACAGTTAGATTTTGTTGCTAGATGATAAGAGATGCTATGACTTCATCATCATTTTAAGATTGGTAATAACATTTTAAAAATCTTATTGCATTTGGAAAATATGGTGTAGCCTTTAAGTCCATATAAAGCTGTATTTCATATGTGTAGCTGCTTTATGTCATGCACAATTACTATTTAAATGTGATTTTAAACCCCCTTCCTTTTTCCACAGGGTGTGATCGGTGTGCAGCTGGTGGTTACCATGGTAATGGCCAGTGTAATTCAGAAAATCATACCTCATTATTCCTTCGCAAGATGGCTACTCTGCAGTGGCAGGTAAGGCAGGATCCTGTACATGCTGTTTCACTTTCTTTAAATGCTACAGTTTAATTTCTTCAATTTACCTCTAAGAAGTTTATTTCAGAGTCCTGAACAATGGGAGTGAAAATGTTTACTCGGACGGCAGCGTTCAGAACGGTTTATATAGAAGAAAAAAAAGAGTCATCAAATGATACCGCGAAGACCAAAGGGTATCAAAATATTGGGAGGACCCGAGAGGGTGGTGCATAAAAATAAAAGTGCCGGCCTCATTTCCTCTAATTAGTGCCACATGTTTTCTCAGTAAACAACTTTTTGGAACACATTTAATAATTAATTATTTTTCACTTTTCAGGGCAATTTCGAAACATTTTCTGAAAACTTTTGTCCTAGGCCTAAAGCCCAGAGTGGCCCCCCAGAATATTTAGTTATTAATTTTTCCATAATAAATAAATGTTCAAAGGGATGAACAAGCTGTGCTCCTTCTCTCCTCTTCTGCCACGCAGAGTGCTTCTTAAGATGCTCTGACAAGAAGGTTTCTAAACAAAGTCAAGCAAGGAGCCTGAAATGTCTTCATATGGACGCTCTTAAATGAGCTCACATTTCAAGCTTAAGGACAGATAACCTTGCTGTGGTTAAGCCTCACACACACACACACACACGCTTTTAAGATGTGTTTTGATGATATAAAGTGGAGTTCTGATACAAATCAGTTTTGTGTCTGTGTGTTCGGGAGTTAATCATAAAGCTTAGAGCTATCACACATTAAGGCTATGAGAAGGGACCTATTGTGCAAAATCCACCTGTTCATGTCTTTTCTACATAAACATGTGTCCCCTCTGTGTAAAGAGATTCTGAAAGGTTCAGGAAAAAGATTTGCTCACTTTTTGTCCTGATCCATTTATATAAAAACCTGTCTGAAAATGAGCTGATCAGATTTTGGCCACTTTATGTTTTGCACCTTATCACCTGAATCTCCTCCTAGAGCACCATTGTGTTATTTTTAACCAATTATCTCTCAGAGGGGTGTGGGGAGTGGCTCCTTATTTTCATCTAAAGTAACAGACCCAGAATCAGCATTTTTGAAACGGGGCTGAAACAGAGGGGATTATGGGATGCGACAATGATCTGTTTGGTATTTCAGCCAATCAGAGGCATGTTCTGTATATATCTGTGACCTATAATATATATTAATGAAAAACAGTATAGTAGGGGGACCTTTAAGTGCTTTCAAGAGCATCTTTCAATTATATTATTGCTTTAATGTTTGAGTGTAAAGTTTAAATGTTAAGAATTGAACTCCACTCCAGTTAGCACACAAAGCATTATACATTTTTGCTTAAAAGTTTTTAATTACTTACTATTTCCATGCCAAGCAACCATTGGGTAGATATGTTTTAAATGGAATGTTTTGATTTAAAAAAATTGCTTTGGTATGTTCAGTGTGTGTGTTTTGTTTTATTCAAAAATATCTGCTTTATTTTGTCCCTTTTCTTTCTCTGTCCATGTCGGAGCCTGGATTCCTCATCCCTCTGCTTGTCCCTTTGTTCACAGTCTTGCGGTGGTATCAGGCACCCTACGGAAGATGAGTTTGAGGAGCTTAGCTGGGAAACAAAAAGGACTGAAGAATGAAAGAAGGTAGGTAGGGGGGGGGGGGGGAACGGGGGCCGGAATGAAGAAGGGCTATTGTTTTGGGGCTGGGGAAATGCAGTGGCACAGAGGAGGTACGAAAGACACCCCTGTCATCAGAGAGGCATGAAAAGATGAGAAGCAGACATTTGAGATGGATGGAGACCACAGGCCTGTCGGCAAACAGATGAAGCTGATGTGTTTATGTGGCTCATTTAAGGCCTGTTTGAAGTAAGGAGACCGAAGTCTGTTTTTGTTCCTTTATGGCTCTTCATCGAGGCTCAGAGCAACCGGGCTTAGAAGTGGCCCTGTCTGGCGGATGTGAGGAAAGTTGGTTCTGTTTTTTGGAGCCATTACTATTAGGCTATTTTAGGGGCTGACACTTTAAAAGGATTGCATCTTCTCTGAAATCAAAGTGTTCTAAACAGCATTATATCTTCAAAGTGGTCAGATGTCAAGCTTTGATTCTGGCATATCATTTCCCATCAAGGCTACTTTTGCAATTCAAAAAACAATATTATTCCATTTTTCGGGCTGCAGGTGGAAGTTGAACCATATGTTGAACACATAAATTAAGTAGTGTTTTCTTTGTACTATCCTTTTTAAATATGAATTTAAATTGAAGTCACAACTGAGAGTTAATCCTCACTGTTCCTCACCGTGTCCAGCTTCTAACTCGGGCACAGTCTTTTCTCCGGCCCTGTATGAGGTACAGCAAGGCTCTCTAACACCACATGCTCAGTAATCCCTTCAAGGAAAAGATGGGACAACTGTCCGTTTGCCAGCTCGTGCCATGCCGCTCGGTTCCCTTTGTTTAACGCCCGACTCCCTCAGTCAGGGGTGAAGCTGAGCCCCTTTTCTCCTGTCAGGTGCCTCACAGATGAACTCTGTCCAGGGCATGTTTGGCCCTAGATTCTTACTGTGGTATTGTCCCTTGAATCTAGCGCACACAGGGTGAACAAACAAAGCCCAGAACTGAGGAGGCCACCAGACAGCTCTTAAAGCCTAAAGAACAGCTCTGCATTCGCCTGCTGTTAGATATCGAGCACAGCCTATGCTTTGCCCCCTTTGGTCATGGAATAGTCCAATAGTATTAGTAGCAACAGGAATAACTACAACTCTGCCAAATGTTAGCGTTGTAAGCCAGAGTCGCATTGGGTGCAGACATGTGTGTTCCTTCTTTTCATTGTATAATAGGAAACATTAATTTACCGTAATTGTTGTTTCCTCACAGGAATACACAAATAAAATGCTTTAACATTTGAATGTCCTTGTTTCTGGTACACTGACCCTATTCTCTGTTTTGCTGCTCTCTCCTTTCTGCTTTAGGAAGTTCAATGGTCACATTGACCATAAGCCAGTAACAGTTCCCAAGGACATAGATTTACAGCTGGAGACGAAATGCATCACAGAAGTCGACACGTTAGGTATAAATCTAAGAGGGCCAATGTCTCCACAGTTTAATATCAACTTTTAAATCACACACTCTTTTTAACTTTTGCATAAACTGGCCTGTATATATTTTATTATTGAATATTATGATGAAAGTAAATTCTCTTTGCCCCCAGCGTTGCACTACTTCCCAGAGTTCCAGTGGCTGGTGGATTTCACAGTAGCGGCGACTGTGGTCTATCTGATAACAGAGCTGTACTACTGCGTGGCTCAGCCCTCGGGAGAGATGAACATCAGTGTGGTCTGGAGCCTGCTAGTGCTAGCCTTTGTCCTGTATCCTTACATCAGTCACTCTTAACATACTTTTTATCTGACTCTTACATCTATCTCGTGATTTAGTTTTCAATGTTCTTTAAATTGGTAACACATGTATGTCATTATGTGGGTGGGGTTGGCAACATGAGGTTTCAGTGGAAGTATTGTCTATAGTCTCTTTCGTGCTCTCACAATTACCTTATTTTCAATTCATCACCACATTCTATATATGTCATAGGTTAACATGTCTTTGTCTATAAGAGAGCAAATCATTCCTGCTTGATTGTGTGGATGCAGCACGGTTTGAGAGGGATCATAAAATGACCGCTCGAGCTCCTACTGGCTCGACAGCCAGCACCTTTATCCTCCACAGCTGCCTGTTATTTTGCTACACTGAATAACGGTTAAATGTTATGCATTAACCTCGCCACCAACCACAGGGATCAATCTTTCCAGTGCTCTTGGTCCGGCCCCCGCTCTCTCAGTCAGATGGTGTGTCATTTCCTGCCTACGTCGGAGATTGGAGGCCCAATTTTCACAGCCCAACAGACTGATATGCTTTGGGGGGGGGGGGGGGCAAAGACAGGGCAATAGATTGACTTGCACTATGAAGATGATGGAATGTGTTGGCTCAGTATAAGTGTTAATGGGACACTTGATTTCAGTTTTCCTATTTCAGCCCTGATGATATGTTTAAAACACTTGCCGTCTCGACTGCCTTAACCTTCTCCGACAGCCCTGGAGCAGCCAGTCGTCAAGTATCTGCATCTAATGGCACCTCTCTTATCCCCCTAGTTCACTGGAATGTATACATTTGACTTCATTCATCCTCACCTTTGCCCAATGTTGATAGGAAAGCTCTGTGTTTTATTAATTGAAGCCCAACACATGATGGCTCAAAAACCTCTTTTTCAACTCCATGCTGGCTTGAACTCGTCCTTTTGAGTGTTTGTACAGCTGTCTTCACAGTGCTGAATACAAGGGGGGGGAAGGGAAGGGAAGGGAGACTCCGCTGGTTCGAATACCATTCCTATAATGGACTAAAGGGAGTGAACAATTGGCATGCTGTCGCCTGAAATGTTGCACCTTCCATCTCCGAGGCAAACGGTTCTCTTTAGAAAACACGCTCTGTCCTCAGCTGTCTGATCAAGGTTGACAGGGGCAGAGTGAAAATGATGACATCCTTGATCGCATGCATAGGTGCCAAAGTCCCTCACGTTCTGTACCCACACTGGCTGGGTAGCAGGTTTTGTGTAGAATTAAGGGTTTCAGGGTCCAAAGGGTTCTGTAAGAATGCACAGTGTGCTTTTGTGAAGCTGAGACACATTTTTGGTGTTGAAAAGATGTTTGGCGCTGTGCTCTGAAGCTTTTGTATTGGTTGTTTGCTGCGACACATTTCCCTTGAACCTGCAAAAGGCATTGCAAACATATCAGCAAAGCAGTTGGGGTTTGCTTGATGTGCTTGTGTGTGTCTGGAGATGTTTTTCCCTTGACTCTGAACTCCTACAGAAAGACCCTTTTCTCTATAACGGCCCATTACTTCAAGCTGGAGGAAGGAGGCGAGCGCTCACTCTGCATTACTTTTGCTTTCTTCTTTTTTGTCAAAGCCATGGCCATTCTCATTGTCACTGAAAACTACCTGGAGTTTGGTCTTGAAACAGGTTAGTTCTCTCCTCAATGCTTTTTCTCGTTGCTAACAATGAATGTTATTTGCTTTTTGGTCACTCTTTAACGTTTTCCTCATTTCTAGGTTTTGCAAACTTCTCCGACAGTGCTCTAGAGTTCCTGCAGCACCAGGGCTTGGAGTCCCAGTAAGTACAGCATCAGTATTCTCATAGTATCCTTTTTGTTTTCTCTGCCTTCACGAATTCTTTATGACTCCTAAAACGACTGTAGTATCTCACTATGCGTTTTCTTTTTCACAGGGGTCCCATATCTAAACTCACCTTCAAGCTGATCCTGGCCCTGCTCTGCTCCCTGATTGGAGCATTCCTAACTTTCCCTGGTCTACGATTGGCCCAGATGCACCTAGATGCACTCAATCTGACCACAGGCAGATTTACACAGTAAGTCCACTTCAGTGTCTGTCTTCCCTTCTGGGGTCAAACTCATGTATTTTTCATTGAATACACTTAAAGTCGTTGTTATCCTTTTAATATAAATGGTGGAAAGTCTTTGAAAATATTTGTTGACACAACTTTTAAGATCAGAACCTGGTCAGGAAACTTTGTAATGGGGCTTTTATTTTTTTAAACCTTTGTCAGGTTCTTTGTGTTTTACATTATTGTTTTAGGATCAACCTTCAAAATCTTTATTTCTCTAAATGTTCCGCGGCATTTAAGGTGAAAGCACAGAAGGTCGATTATTTTTCTCACGTAAATGAATCGCTGTTCAATGGAATATATATGTTTCTGATGATAATGGAAACAAATGATTAGACCCTCCAGAAAAACGCGGGCAAAAATCATTGATTATGCGATTTAAACATGCGGGGGTTTTATGTGATTTTCTGCGGTGAAATTGCGGGAAGTTGCAAAATATGCGGAAAGTTGCGAAAAAGAATAGATTTTTTTTAAATATT